GCGCAAGCCCGCTCGCAGTGCGCAGCAGCCAGCCGATGGCATCAACCCGCCCGCCGCCCCCCGCCCCCCGCCGCCGCCGCCGCCAGCTGCAGCATGAGAGGCCAGAATGGCCAGCAGGGCCAGAGAGGGCCTCTCTCAAAGCCATCCATGCTGGCATTGCTGGCCAGAAACGGACAGTACTGCCGCCTCATTCCTCCCCTGCCGCCCCTGCCGCCGACGCCATCCTCCGCAGGCTTCTACTTCTCCCACCGCCGCTCCGGCCAGCCTGGCCCCTTCACCCGCATCGTGTGCTGCGACAGCCCGGACAAGGTCAGCGCAGAGGAGCTGAGCCTGGTGCCCACCCACCTGGCGCCCTCCTACACCTTCAACCCGCACAACTCGGACGCGTACCTTCCGTACAACAAGCCGGTGGCCATCATGGACTGGCTGGGCAGGTGTGCGGCTGCTGCCCGGGGGGCGGCGGCAGCGGGTGCAGCCGCGTGTGCCTGCAGAGCGGCAGGCACATGTGGCTGCTGGGGCGGCGGCAGGGGGTGCAGCTGCATGTGCCTGTGACTGTGGAGCGGCAGGCCTGTGCCCAGACTGGTGGGCAGGCCTGTGGCTGCTGTACGGGCATCGGTCCGGGGCGTGAGCGGCCGGGGCCAGGGCCACCACCGCCGCTGCGTCCTCCCTGCGCCCTGCCTGCGCCCTGCCGCATGCAGGAACGACGTGCGGGAGGAGTACGTGCTGGTGATCGATGTGGACATGATCCTGCGGGCGCCGCTGCTTCCAGAGGTGGGCTGGTAGGGTGGTGGGGCAGGCAGGGAGCACATGTGCCCGAGCAGGCAGCAGCACGAGCTGCTGGCCCTGCCGCATGCTGGCGGCAGGCACGACCTGTCTGCATGCATGGCTGCTGCGCCACGCGTGCATGCACGTGCATGCGCCCACCCTTGCCCGCGCTGCTCATGCTGCCCCTGCCACACCCGCCGCCGCTGCTCTGCCGCAGGCGCTGGGTGCGCGCCCTGGCTTTGCCGTGGCCGCCTTCTTCGACTACCTGCACGGCACACACAACGAGCTGGCGGAGCGGCACCTGGCTGATGTGGCGCCACGTCAGGATGAGCTGGCTGGCCCCGCGGGGCGCCGCGCCGACATGGTTGGCGGCGCCTACCTGGCGCACCGCGAGGACATGCGCCGCATCGCCCCGCTGTGGCTCAAGTACACGGAGAACGTGCGAGACGACCCGCGGGTGTGTGGGCGTGCCCGTTGGCGCCCTCGGGGCTAGGAGCAGCACTTGGTGCTCGCGTGAAAGTGGTCAGGCCGGGGCATGCATGCAGATGCGGGCAGCCGCGGCAGGCGGTGTGGCCGCTTGGCTCACGCTGAGCTGGCCATGCTGCGCTGGCAGGAGGCCACGCTGAGCTGGCCGTGCTGAGCTGTAATGACGCGGCGCCCGCCGGCTGCCGCAGGCCTGGGAGCTGGCTGGGGAGCCGGGGCGGGCGCCCGGGGAGCGGCCCTGGATATGTGAGATGTATGGCTACTCCTTTGCCGCCGCCAGGCTGGGCGTGTGGCACCGCGCCGACCAGAGCCTCATGCTCTACCCCGGCTACTACCCGGCCGGTGAGGGTGTCCACATGTGCTGCGCTGGCAGCTTGCCGCGCTGTTGGTCCCGCCGCGCGGCTGCAACCCCACCTACGGGGCTGCCTGGCAGGACGGGCCGGAGGTGGCGCCGCCGCAGCGCCAGCTTGCGCCATGGCCGATCGCCGCCCGCTGGTGCCTGCCCCCTCAGCTGCCCCCTCAGCTGCCCCCTCAGCTGCCCCCTCAGCTGCCCCCTGTGCCTGCTGCCGCCCCCGGCCCGGCCTGCGCAGACCCGCTGCCCAGGGTGCTGCACTACGGCCTGCTCTGGAATGTGTCTGCTGGCTACGAGTTCAACAAGCACTGGCACTTCCAGTTCGACATGCTGGCCTGCCCGCCCTGGAAGCTCGGGTGAGGCGCTGGCGCTGGCAGCGCCTGGCAGGCCCGGGCTGGCAGCGGCAAGCTCAGCCGGAGCCGCGGGGCTTCCCTCTGGCCTCAGGCTGTCCGTCGAGGGCAGAGGCGCAGCTGGGGGGCAGGCGCAGCGGCGGGACCGGCGGGTGTCATGACATCTCCCTACCTGCCCCCCCGGGGCTGTTCCCGTGCAGGGAGAGCGGCCTCTTCAAGCACCCCGCCCACCCGCGCAGCCTCCGCTCCAAAGGGGCGGAGCTGCTGAAAGACCTGCTGGCCATGGAGGCGATCATCTACCTCAACGCCGCCTTCTGCGAGCGCCACCGAGCCAGGTGCCCCCACTCCAAGGCCCTCAACTGGGAGTGCTCCAAGGCGGAGACGCTGCTGAAGGCGTACGACGCGGCGTGGAAGGCGGCCGTGCTTGCCATGTGAATTGGGGCGGCAACGTTGGGCGGCGGAGGCGCGGCGGCCGCGCCGGAGCACAGACAGGGATCTTAAAACTGCGGAAGCGCTAAATTGGTGCAAGGTAAATCGATTGACATACGACTGCTGTGTGAAAACGAGAGGCACACGAGCAAATTGCCGTGGCGATTGCCCAAGGTGACCTTCATGGGGGGGAGAAGAAAGCACGGCTGTGTTTTTCCTTTTCAACCGGCGTTTCCGGGCTCTGGCCGCAAAATTGGCATCCAGACCACCATGCTCGCCGCTCGACTCGTGGCCCGCCAGGGCGGGGCTGCAGTGTGCGGCGGCGGCCGCCCGTGTTTGCGCAGTAGACGCCTTTGCGTGCGTGCAAGCAGCGCGGCACCGGATGAATGCATGCGCAGGTGTGGCGGGCGAACTGAGTGAGGCGCCGCCATGTTGCCGCCGCCGCCGCCGCCGCCATGCGTGCCATGTTGCACACGCCTTCGCCCCACCCGTGTCCCTCTGCAGCATTTCCGACAACGGCCAGGTGTCCATCATGGTGGTGCGAGGGACGCAGGTGGTGCAGGAGGTGAGTGCGCTGTCCCGCTGCACATGCGGCTGCAGCTCTGCAGCCTGTGCTGCAGGCATTCCCTCCACTCTGCGTGCTGCGCCGGGAGGCGCCCAGCTCTAGCAGCCACGCGCGCCGCCTGCAGGCCTGCACACGGCACCAGACCTCGCCCACGGCGTCCGCCGCTCTGGGGCGCGCGCTGCTGGGAACGCTGCTGATGGGGGCCTTTAGGGAGCAGGGCGAGAAAACTCAGGTGGGTCTGTGTCTGTGTCTGTGTCTGTGTCTGTGTGTATGGAGAGGTGCTCTTAGGCTAAGGCTACGGCCGACGCAGGCAGCCAGCACCCATCCACGGCTACAGCAGCGACGCAGCAGCGGCGTGCGGGCTCACATGTCCACATGTTGTGGCAGCGGCGGGCGCGGCAGGCGGCGTGAGCAGCTCCCGCCGCGCGCCGCCTCCCTGTGTGAGCAGCTCCCGCCTGCGCCGCCTCCCGGTGTGAGCAGGTGACGTTCAAGGGCGACGGCCCACTGGCCGGCCTGCAAGTGATCGCCGACGCCAGCGGTACGGTCAAGGGCAAAGTGGGCAACCCTGCGGCAGACCCGCCGCTGCGGCCAGATGGCAAGCTCAACGTGGGGCAGGCGGTGGGGCGAGGTGAGGCCAGGCCACGCGGCGGGCGGGTGGTGGGGCAGCTGTCTTCTGCCCTTCTGCCTGTTGCTGAGCCGAGCTCGAGCAGACAGCGTGCGCCTGCTGCTGCCGGTGCTTGCCTGCGCTGCTGCTGCCAGCTCTGTCGCCGCCAAGCCAGCATGGAGGCGGAGGCCGGGGGCCTGGCTGCCTCGCAGCGCCTTGTGCCTGCGTCACCGCGCCCGGCCTGGCCCGGCCGCCCGCCGAGCGCCTGCAGGCGTGCTGGCGGTGGTGCGCAGCCTGCCCTTCACCAGCCGCGGCTACGAGACGCCGTACACGGGAATGGTGCCCATCCACTCAGGCAAGCAGAGCAGCTGCTGCTGCCGCTTGCTGCTGCTCCTGGTGATGGTGCCGGGGCAGCTGCAGCCGGACGGCTGGCGGGCCGCTTTTGTCCACTCCTGCTGCCGCTGTGCTGTCGCCGCTTCTCGCTCCTGCGCCTGTCCTGGGCGCAGCTTGCCACACCGCACTTGCCGCGCCCATCATAATGCGCCGTGCCTGCCCCCTGAACCACTCCCGCTCACCTGCCTGCCCTGCCCCCTGCCTCCCTTGCCCACTTGCTTGCCCTGCTGCCCTGCCCTCTTGCCCTGCTCACCTGCCTGCCACGGCCCCACCCCCCCCCCAA